GCAAACCCAGCCCTCCCGGAGCCGGTACTGTGAGAGCTAAGCAGGCGAGAGTCTGCTAGGATTTTGTCGATAAGCCGTCCGCGTGTTTAGCTTTGTCTGTCCTGCCAGCTGGGTTAGCTCTTCGGTGACGCGCTCCGCTTGGAACCGCGTCCCGCGTGAAGCCGCCGAATATTTAAAAGGCTGGTGGGCCCACCACTACGCTGGGTCTTTAGAGCTAACACAGGAAACAAAGCTTGGCAGTCATCCGCCACACCCACCGCACAGTACCTTTTACCTGCCTCCCACATGCAGCCCCGCGGAACACCTGGGACCGGCCCCAGCAGTTCACTTCGCCCTGGGCAGTGTCAGTCACTCCTGAAGTTTCAACTGCCCTCTTTAACGTGTTTATTTTAGATCCCGCTTAGTCCCAAGAAATGATTTGAAGCGTTTCTACGACCTTCACAAGGGTGATGTGGAAATTTATATCTCCATCCTAGATCTCTCACAAGCTCTACAAACTACTTGGTACCGAGGGCCCCCACCGCTCAGCCAGAGATCCTTCTAAAATTTAAGTCAGATCAGATCCCCGCCTAAATTCCTGCAATGTCCCTCGATTTCACTCAGTAAAAGACAAAGCTCCTACAAAGGTCTACAAAGCTCTGCTTCATTAGCCCTCCACCCCATTACGTCTGACCTCCCCTCTTCCAGGCTCTTTCTCTCTGGCCTTAGGGCCTTTTGTCTAGCTGTTCACTAACTTCTTCCTGCAATATTTTCCCCCTAGATATCCAGTTGGCTAACTCCTTCGCCTCCTTCAAAACTGTGCTGAAGTCTCATCTTCTCATTTAGGCCCACCCTGGTCACCCTATTTTATACTGCAGCCTGCCCCACCACCACCACTACTGATCCCCATGTTGCTTTAATTTTTCCCATAGTATTTATCACAGTCTTATATAATACATAATTCACTTATGATGTTTAGCTTTGTTTCCCCTTGCTGGAATGTAAGCTCAAAGATGACAGGTCTTTGTTTTGTTCACTAACACTCCCCCAAGCATCTACAGTAGTGCCTGGCACATGCTAGGCACACAATGAATATTTACTGAATCGAGCACTATCTAGAACACCCCGTTGTTGATGTCCCCCTAACGGTGCAAACTTAACATGTCCATAACTGAAATCTCTCTCCCATTGAACCTGTTTGTCCTATGAATGGCATTAACAGTCTCCCAATTGCCTAACTATAAAATCCAGAAGTGATCCCTAACTCCTCCTCTCTCTCCCTATACCCACCACTTCAAAATCATTCATCAAATCCTATAGAGTCCAATAATTATTCCCCAATCCTATGGAGTCCAAGAAACAAACGTCTCTCATATAATCTCTCCTCTCTCCTCCATCTTGGTTTAAGTCTCATCTTCTCTCTCAAACTACTTTGAGGCCAACTTCCCATCTCTCTCCATCAGTCTCCATGGGGCAGCTAATTTATCTGAAACACACATTTGATTATGTTGGTATCTTGCCTACAATCCTTCAATTTTAAATTCCTCAAAGGAAATGCCTTTCAAGATAAAATCAAGGATTCTGGCAGAGCATAAAAACTCCCTCATCATTTGGCACCTATATTCCCTTTTTTGGATTTTAGCCTCCTATCCAGTCACTCCCCTACTTTCAAATCCTGATCCAGCTCTGACAGCACTTCCAGGTCCCAAACAGGCCACCGAACTTCACGCCTCAGGTTGCGCCTGAATAATTCACCAGCCTGGAATGCCATGCCTTGCTCTTCACCTTGCTATCCACCAGGCCTTCTCTACAGCTCAGGCGGAATCCCCTTCTACAGGAATCCTTTTCTGAAGCTCCCTGGCCTCTCCTTTATCTGTTCTTTGGATTCAACAAACATCCAGTACACAACAGTGTGGCAGACTCTGAAGCTAACAAAGACAAATGAGATGAGGTTTTCCACCCCAAAGAGCTTCCAGTCCAGAACCAGAGACAGACATGTTTGACATGATGGTGCTATTTATTAGAAACACAGTTGGAGCCTAATCCAGCTCTTCTACTCTGACCTAGATGCCCAACCGAAGGCTGCATGTACAAATGGACAATGGTCAGACCGTAAAGAATAACAGAACTATGACCCACAACCTATGCAACAATTGGCTTAAAATGGTCAGAACTTGATAAATAACTTTTCTATTTTTTGCCCCCACTTTCAACTCAGAACCAACCACAGAAAGCCAAATATGCTCCCCAAACCAATTACATAAGACACCTGGCTTCTAGTTAGCCTGGTGCCAGCTTCCCTGTCCAGCCTCCTCCAACCACAGCACACTTGACCACTCTTACTATAAAGCTTTCCCACTCCCCTGTGTACTTCTGAGTCTCTGCCAAATGCAAATGATGGTGGCTCATGCCCTTGCTATAGCAAGCTCTGAATAAAGAGCCTCATTTGTTCGTTCTTATTTTGTGGTCTTTATTTCCACAATCCTCAGTCCTTCAATCAAGTTCAGTGGTTCCTCTCATTCTGAACTATGTCGTAACTATCTCTTGTCTGACTCTCCACCTCACCATGAACCCCTTAAGGTCAAGAGACCATGGCTAAACATAACACCTGACCCGGTGCCTGCCACATAACAAGTCTCCACTACTTTTTGTTGAGTAACAATGCTTGAAATCGGGACTATACTGGAACTTTTAGAAGACAGATGGCAGTCACTTATCCTCTCCACCCTCACATGGCACTTTTTCCATAACCTACTGAAACACTTTGACACTTTTGTAACAAGCCAGCCTCATCCTATTAGTGTAGGGGTTTTCTTCTCTTGTTTATCCTTGTACTCCCAAACCTAGCACTCAGGAGGCATTTCAGAAATATTTATTTAATTACTAGGGCCGCTGAAACCTAACAATAAACTCCAAGTTTTTCACAGCATTAGTTATCACGAAACTCCAGGTCATGAGATAAATACATCTTTCCTGTAGAATCTGTTGAGTACAAATATCTCACTTCTCCTTACTTCTAAGTGAAACCTGGAGTCACCCTCTATGTACCCCATTCTCATCTGCAGTCTCAAGCAAAAGCCTCTCCTTACATCCAACAGGCACATGGACAACAGGAGTCATTCTCTCTGTTCAACTTCCCACTTCTGCTGTTTCTGTACCACCTCTACCTCTTCTCTAACTCTCCTTCACTCCAATTAGGCTATCTATCCCTTCCCTTCCTCCTTTCAGATCTTGAAACTTTCTGCTGAAGAGCCTGGGAGAGGGGCGTGGTTTCTGTTAGCTGTCCACATTTCCGCTGCCCCATTTCTCCCATGCAGAACCAAGTCCATGTAGTTCTGACAGCACCCACAACGACCTTACAACTCAGCTGCTAGGTGCTATTATTTCCCCATTCTGCAGACTGTAGGTAAGTCACTGAAGTCAGAGGAATTATACGCAAGTCTCCTCCTAAGAGGACAGAGTAGGCATGTGGATTTTTCTTCCACATTTTGCTCTATAAACTTTCGTATTGCTTGAATCTTTTGATGTCTGTAATTTTAAAAATAACTTTAAAATAACAAAATAAGGAGTCTCCTTTGGATTCTTGGCCTTCCACTAGTCTTACCCTGACAACCTTCAACTGTGGGCTAATCTAGCATCCATTTCCTTTTTTTTGTTTTTGATCCTAAACTACTAGACACTGCTGGACAAAGTCGGGAAATGAAGCAACTACCCTAGATCTTCAGTGTGGCTCTAAATTCCCATAATTGTTACAAACCTGCCCATTCTTCCTTTGCACCTCAAAAAACCTCACCTTTGGCAAATTTTCTCTGGATCTGTTTTTTTCTTCCCATCCTAGCCCAGTCATCGTTAAGTGCTGGCACTTGTGTGCTCTCTCCCTCCTGGTTTTTTCCCTCAACTAATCACACAGAAATCCACACATATATCCATCTGTTAATAAATAATGCTCCTCCCTGACTTTCTCTTCCTCATTTCCTTCAAGGCCAACCTTCCTGAAGAGCAGGCTACTCTCATCATTGCCACTTCCTCGGCTCTCAAACAGTTCTCAGCCCCTTTAGGTTGGCCACCACTCTGCACAAATCTCTCTCTTGAAGGTCGTTACGACCTCAAACATGATCAACTGCCAAATTGAAAGGCCTCTTCTCAATCATTCTCCTTCAACTCAGCATGATTCAACATTATGGACCATAAGCATCTACTCAAAGTTGTTTTTCCTCTGTTAGGTTTGATCTCTCATTGACTGGCTTCTCTTTCTTCTCTTGCCCCTTAAACGCAAGACTCTCTCTTAAGGTTTCACTGGGATTCTCATCTTCCTTCATGCTACATGATCACCCTTGTGAACCTTCTTTAACTGACCATCATGCTGAGAAAATTTCTCCAATCTGTGCCTCCAAGCCCAGCCTGCACTTGTGGGGAGCCAGCCCTACTTCCTAGTTAGGTTGTCCACACAGCTTAGATGGGGTGCAGGTCCCTCAAGCTCAGCATGCCTCAACTCGGATCCTCCTCCCCCACAGAACCTGCTCCTCTCCTTCATGATTTTCTGTATCATTTGGGAGGTGGCCTCCTCTGGCTCTCAGGTGCCAGGCTCGAGCCATCTTCAGCTCTTCCCCCTCTCCTCCCCTCCACATCTAGTCAGCTGACGGCCCTCACATCCCTCCCCTTTCCCACTTCCACTGCTGTTTCTAGTCCCATCACTTCTTTTCTTGACAACTGCAACAGCATTTTTCTCTCTTCTACAAATCACAATGGGTGTAGACCCACAGACCCACATGCAGGCCGCGGTGGTCAGCCCAGCCCAGCCCCCCATGTCTGTAGAGCCTCACCATCCCATCACTTCTTGTACTCTGGACCCACTGTATGACAGATGTTGACTTACAGGAAATGGTCTTTCTGGGTACCATCTTTGCCCCTAGCTTATGCCTGGCACTTCATGCTTATATTATCTCATATGGGTTAGAAAGATATATTTGAATGAAGAAAAAATATATATATATATACACACACACACACACACACACACATATCTTTATATAACACATACTTTATATACATAATGCGCAAGTCTGCAGACTCATCTAGATACAAACTTCAATCTATTACTCAAATAGTATTTTCAGAGCATCTGGTCTGGTAGTGGGATTTTACAGACTAATATAAGTTAAAAAAAAAAAAAAAAAAGGAAGGAGAGATGACCTGTGAGAAGTTGAAGATTTTCTCTAAAACCCTTTTGTAGTCTGTTACGGATCATTGTGTGTCCCCGGAGCCCCCAACCCCACCCTGCCAAATTCCTGTGTTGAAGCCCTAACCACACTGTGACTGTATTTGGAGATGGAGCCATTAAAGAGGCAATTAAGGTTAAATGAAGTCTTAAGGATGGGGCTCTAATTCAATAGGACTGGGGTTCTTTTAAGAAGAAACACCAGGAGTACCTGCACACAGAGAAGGGACCATGTGAGGACACAGCAAGAAGACAGTTGTAACTCAAAGGAACTTTAGAAGAAACCAATCCTGCTGGCACCGTGATCTCAGGCTTCCAGCCTCCAGAACTATGAGAGAGTAAACTTCTCTTGTTTAAGCCACCCAGTCTGGGATATTTTGTTACGGGAGCTCTAGCTGACTAACACATAAGCCAAAAGAACTGGCACTTTTTTAAAGAGAGATAGCTAAGGTGCAAGTGTGTAAGATATGTAAAATGTGACACAAAGGAGACATGAGGAAAGCAAGAAGGATTTAGATTAGCTATAAGAATGCCGTGACTAACAGATTGCTGATGCTGGCTGCAGGCGATGGTCTGAAGAGAAAACAGACAGTGGAGACGTACATTTGAATGCAGGTTCAAACGATGCTTTGAGAAGTTTTGGAGATCCTAATGGAAAATAATACCAATTTGTACACCATATTCCAAAGAATAGTAAAGGCAAAAAGGGTTTCATGGTAAAATAAGGTTTGGAAATACTGGGTAGCGCTAACTAAAACAGTCTGCTTTACTGTGGAACTTCCTGGAGCCTTTATGAGCTCCATGAAGCTCCAAGAGTGGGAGATGGCATGCAGTGTTTCTCAAACTTATTTGATCACAGAACCCTTCATCTGTAAGACACCACGGGTGATGCTTCCTCCTTGGATCACATTCCAGAGCTGATGGATCAAAGACAACTTGGCGACTTTGAGGGACATACCCCCAGTGACTTCGGCGAGGACTTGGCCACATCCCGTGGTGCAGCTCCCGAGGCCCCACATGGAGTGGCTACAATGGAGTGGGTGATCAGTGCACGCCCTTGGTCTGTTAACCGTGTGATCTTAAGCAAATTCCTCAGCCTCTCCAGACTTCAGTTTCCTTATCTGTACAAGGACATAAGACTGAGTACCTATCTTCATGGGGTTTTTGCAGATTATATGGCAAGAACTAAGCTAAGTGCTTTACATGCTAAGCACTCAGTATTTATTAACTATTACACAGGTTAGAGGTATGCTAGCAAGTGGCTTTTCCCACTGTTGACAACACTCAATGACTTAAGACAGATGAGAGTAAAGGAAAACCAGAAATATCAGCGACTGTTTTCAGTTTCACTCACACAAATCACTATCTTCTCCATGCCAGAGGCTGGGTCCACAGAACTGAAATCCATGTTTGCTTCACCAGATGTCCTGCCAGCGCAGGGCACCAGGGGCAGAAGAGCAGGTGTGTGTTCACCCCACTCCCAGCCCTGCTCCTTTCAAGGGGACCCATTAGGCCAACTCAACAAGTCCAACATGGCTGGCTGGCCACCTTCACAAAGATGCTCAGTTACTTGGTGTAAAAGTCTTTGCTGCCAAATAAAGACAGTAACAGAAAATAACAGAGGGCTTTATTTTTATGTCACTGTCCTGGTTTCTTCCAGCTGTTGCTAATAGCCTGACAGTGTGTCTCTACAACTCTTGCTTGATTCCAACATTGTTTAAATTATCAGTCACAAATATACCTCCTTGAAGAGAAAACAAGTAGCTTTTTTCTAAAGCCCACTGGGCACACCAGGAAAGTGGCCAGCTCTCCGGTCGCCCTCTTCCCTCCATCCCTTCTCCTGGCGTCTCCATCCCACGGGAAGAGACCAGGCAGCAGGCTGAATCCAAGCACTGCTCTCATGCTACTGCATCCTTACCCCTGGATCCCTCTAGGGCAATGAAGAAATGTTTCTTAAATGGAGGGCCTTAAACAACCGATGTTTCCAAAACAAAACCAAACACCTGCACAGCAATGTTGGGGCACAGCTGTTTTCCACCGGCTTTCAGTTTCATTGCCCCACTGTCCTGGGAGGTTTTTCATGATGATTTTTCTCATCTTTCACAATGGTAGAATTAGACAGGAAAAATCAACCAAACTAAAAAAGAAAAACATCTAGTCCTGCGGAAACTGTCTTAGACATAACTCCAGATAACAGTACTGACAATGCCCTGCCCCACCGTGCCCTCTAATTCCTGTACCCGGTCCCAAGCCCTGCCCACGCCCCTTTCTGGACACTCAGACATCACGGTCCCCAAAAGATGAGGTTCTGTGAAGAAGGTGCCCGAGCGTCTTAAGGGAGCTGGACTTGCTCCGGCTGGCTGGGTGGCAATCTGGGCTGGCACTGTGGGCACCACCAGGTGAGCCTCTGGAAGCCACCTGGAGGCCCAAAGGCCTCCTTCATGACCTGGTGCCCAGCAGGGCACTGCTCCTTCTGGTAGATCTGCGTGTGCTGCTGTTTGCCCTGGAACTTGCCCTGAAGCCAGTCTGCACTGAACTCCACCACATGATCCAGGAGGACCTCAAGTCGTGGAGGACTGAGGAGCGAACCGAGAGAAAGGGGATGGATCCCAGCTCTGTACAAGGCTTCATTCTTAATGATGTTCCCTGGAAGAAAGCAGGGAGAGGACAAGGGAAGAAAAAAAAGACACGTCCACAAGTTAATATAGTAAAGCGAAGCTGGTATGATGGCCACACGGGAGTGCCTCAGAAGACCTGGAACCAGCTCTGCCATGTACCAGGGGCTCCTGCACAAGTCACATATTCTCTGAGTCAACTTCCCTGTCTGCAAAGTGGGTTTGCTAACACTTACTTTGAAGGTTGTTGTGAAGATGAAATGGAATGAAATAAAACTCATGCGTGGCCCATGTTACAGCAAAGAGATTCTCAAAATGGGCTCTGAAACCTGACTGCCTGGATTTGAATCTGAGCTCAACCAGATCCTAGCTATGTGACCCTGGTAAGTTCCTTAGCTTCTTTAAATGTCAGTCTCCTTATGTGTAAAATGGAGATAGGTTACCTGGTTTTTGTGAGCAGTAAATGAGGATTTTCACACATACACATGCACACACACACAAATGCTGAGCACAGTGGCTGGTACATAAAAAGCACTCAATAAATATTAGCTGCTATTGTTTGAAATGTCGAGCAGAACGCCTGAAATACAGAAAGTGTTTGAAAGGTATTATTTTATTATTTTTCTACCCTTGCCTCATTCTCTGTGAAGCTAGCCTTGATCCCTCCTTCCAGGATCAACCACTCTCTTCAAAATGTTCCAACACTTTCTTGAACCTCTACCAGGCATTTATCACAATCTATCTCAAGTCACAGTGACCTGAGTCCATGCTTGCTGGGCCACCAGGCAACAGTCTCCCCAAGGAGAGAAGGTGAGCTTGGTAGAGGGCAGCCATTCAGCACGCGTGAAGTGAACAATGAATGAAATTACTGCTCTTTCCAAGAGCTTCATCATCACGCTCCTGGTTGCACATAAAACTTCTTTCTAAAATTCACTGGCGACCACCTGGATTCATGTCGGCTGTACCGTTTACTAACAATCTGTCCTTTGCTTTAGTTTCTTCATCTGAATAAAAGGAAAAGGAATAAATAACTATCTTACGCAATAGCAGTAAGGATGAAATCATGTGCCTGGCATGTTAGACTCATGGAGAAAATGTTGGCTGTTATACTACTGTTAGTAATAACAACAAGTTAGTAGAGCATTAGCTCTTGCTATATATACCCCAAAGGCACTTCTGGAAGCCTCTTTGCCCCTGAGGGTGCAGGGACTCCCACAGTCCTAACATGATGCAAGGCCACTATCTGGTGAGCCACCGAGGCTCCTCCCCATCATGAGGTGAGCTGTGCCTGCAGCAGACAAAATCAGGCCTTGGATATAAGGTGACTCTGCCATCACCAGCTCACCCACCTGCCTCGGCACATATCACAGGTGCACTTGTTCCCTCAGTGTGGCAATAAGAACGGTAGGTTCTTGTAGTCCAGCTAATTAGCTGTTCTAGTTTTCAAATGGCTCAGCTCTTCTCCCCACCTCAAAATGTTCACAGCTTCACTGCTCAGGACACTTGAACAGAGAGAGGGAAGCTGCTTCTTCATTCATGTCTTATAAGATCCCGATGTAGACCTGAGACATCTGTGCTTTGTCCAGCAGGCAGCTCCATCTGCCCAGGAGCGGCCCCCGTTAGCGAATGTCCCTTAGCAAGTGGCACAGCTTTCAGTTCCTGGCAGACATGGGTCCAGCACTTCCTGTGTACCAGGCACTGGGCCAGGCAGTGGAGGATCCAAGGAGAGAGGAGACACGACCCTGCCCTTTGGGAGGTCATGCTCACTGTGGCTGTCAGGCAGACTACAACCGATAAGACAAGTAGGGTGTGAATTCTGAAGGTAGGAGAGAAGCTAGAAATTACCTAATCTAACGTCCTCAGTTTAAAAACATGGGAAATGAAGCTAAAGAGACTAAGTGATCACCTCGAGACCAGCAGTGAGGGCACCACAGGGGTGGTTCTGTTTTGAGCCTTCCAGTCAAACGACCTGTCTATTAAATCACTCTGTGGGGCTCAACCCTTTCCCATCAGTCATACCTAAGCCTGAGAAGTATCTTTGGTCCAACAATGTATAGCAGACAGGCTGCTCCTGGCCCAGAGCTTCCAGGGCTTGTCCTCGATGGAACTTTTCAGACAAGATGTCAGAGGTGGGTCTGACCACTGGGGAAGAGCTCCAAGACATCTGACAATTATAAAATGCCAGGAAGCCACCACCACCAAAGTGCAGGACCAACCTGGGGAGAAAGAAAAGACTGTAAGTGCATACAACGGCAACTGTATCTAAGTAGAAAATGTACAGGTCACACGCACCTACAGCTCCCACTCCACAGTCAGGATTAACCTACAGAAGCTAAGGTCCCAAAGGAGAAAAGGGATGGCTCTGCCAGGATCATAAAAATCTCAGGGCTAAATGGAGTAATTAAAAGAAAACATACATATCTCTCCATTTGTCTGATCATAGCAGAACATGTTCACTGAAGACAATTTGGGACATATAGAAAAGTCTGAAGTTCAGGAGGTGTGGCTACCTGCATAAAAAGCAGGGCTTGTTAGGAAGGAGGGTAGAGAAATGGATGCTGAAGAGGAACCACTCCCAGGCAAGATTTACCAAGCAAGTGTGGGTACTCCCATGGGCTTCCTAAATCCCAAGGACAGAGGAGAAACCTTTGAACTTTGATAAAGAAACAACAGGTAACTTTGTAGGGGAACATAATCAGGCTGGAATTGGACTCCACATCTGAAGGAGAATGATTCATCTATCTGACCTAGGTGGTACTCTTATGTGAAAGTAAAAGGACAAATTTAGAGGAAGAGGGACTTGGAAAGACTATCTGCACAAAGTATCTGAGGTAATTAACTACTCAAGAATAAATACACACCCTGGGAAATTAAATCAGCCAGGATCTCAAGACAGGGGGAGATGAAGAGGACAGGACACAATGAGCAGCACTAGATTTTCTAACGTTTATTGTGAAATCCTAAAAGAATTATGATTATGATGTACAACTGAGAACTGTAATACAATGTCAGGAAAGAGTTCTTGAAACAAAAGATACCTATTAACATGTTTTTAATATTAATTAATTTAATTATATGTGATTAACAAGATAGTATAATTCATTCATTAACAATCTGGAACTAAAATTCTAAACCCTCTCGGCAAACGCAGGAGATGGGGTGGATACGACAGAAAAGAAGTCGTGAAGCAGAAATCTTTTAAAGGTCTCATCTCAGAGGAATGAAGGACAGTGAGCAAAATACCAGTTTCAATAATAAAGGAGAAGAATTATTAATTTAATGTTATTAAAAATTTGGTATTTATTAACTCAGAAAAAAATAGAGATATAATTTCAAAATAATATTATTAATAACAGAGTAAAGATGAATAGCAATACTTCCCAATTAACAGGGGTAAAAAAAGAAAAGAAACTTGATAAATCCAACAGAAGAAAAGGAAAGCTGGTACAAAACAGCAAATGGAAGAAAATCCAACGACCACGGTTATCCCAGTTCAAAACAAAGAATTTCAGTTTGAGTTTAAAGAGATACAAACCCAGCTACTCACCGTTTGTAAGGAGCATACCTAAAATAAGTAAGAACACACACCTACAACTAAGGGGAAAAAGACCAACGTGGGGGCCAGCCGAACACAGAGCAGTACTATTAACATCAAGAAAAGCAGAATTTAAGACCACAGGCAAAGAGAGGGTATCTTATTGTTTATTAATGAAGCTGCTATGAACCTCTGAGAAGCAGGGACCTGATGCCAGGGACCCCAGGGCAGCAAAAACAAATGAAACACTTAGAAAGAGGAGAAACCACATAAAACCACAATCACCCGGGGGACTTTAATGCCCCTCTTCCCAAGTTTGGCACCTTAAGTAAACAAAAAGTAGTCAGAATGGCTATTATCAAAAAGACAAGAAATAACAAGTGCTGGAAAGGATGGGGAGAAAAGAGAACCCTCAAGCACAGTTGGTGGGAACGTTAACTGGTGCAGCCACTAGTAAAAACAGTACGGAGGGTTCCCAAAAAATGAAGAATAGAACTACCATATGATCCAGCTATTCCACCTCTGAGTATTTACTAAAACACAAAAACACTAATTTGAAAAGATATATACACCACTATGTTCATTGCAGCATTATTTATAATAGACAAGAAATAGAAACACTTAAGTCCCCTCAACAGATGAACGGATAAAGAAGATGTGGTGTGTGTGTGTGTATATATATATATATATAAAATGAACTATTACTCAGCCATAAAAAAGAAGGAAATTTTGCCACTTAACATGGATGGACCTTGAGGGTATTATGCTAAGCAAAATACTCAGACAGAGAAATTTAAATACTGTATGATTTCACTCATGTGCAAACTAAAAAAAACAAAACAAATGAACAAATAAAATAAAAACAAACTCATAGATACAGAGAACAGATTGGTGGTCACCAGAGGTGAAGGGGTTGGGGAGGGAGAAAGAGGCAAAGGGAATCAACTATACGGTGATGGGTGATAACTAGATGGTAGTGGTGGATCACTATGTAGGGTGAACAATACCGAATCATAAAGCTGTACACCTGAAACTTATACAATTGTTTTAAAAGGTAAAAAAAAAAAAAAAATGAGCAAGCACAGAAAGATTTTGAGTTAGCAAAACAATAACCCGTTCTTAACATATACAGAATGTTTTACTTTTAATGAACAGAGTACCTTCATTTATGTACATAAAATATAACCACAGATCAATGCTGTGTTTGGCCGGCTGCAAATCTTAATAGATGCCAAAAGTCAAAAATCTACAGGCTGACATCCTGAACATAATCCAATAAAAAATTACAACAAAACAAAACAAAGGCCCAAACACTCAAGCATTTGGAAAATTAGGAAATATTTTTCCACATAGATAGAGTATATAAAACTAATATCATTTGTGTGAAAGACCAACAAAGTAGATAAAACTCTAGCAAACCTAATTAAGAAAAAAAGCGGAGGGGGGGGGGGGGGGGGGCCAGGCGCGTGGTGTAGCGGTTAAGTTTGGTGTGCTCTGCTTCAGCAGCTTGGTTTTGGATCCCGGGGAATGGACCTACACCACTCGCCATCCGTGCTGTGACAGTGACCCACATACAAAGTGGAGGAAGACTGACACAGATGTTAGCTCAGGGCTAATCTTCCTCAAGCTAAAAAAAGAAAAGAGGAGGATTCACAATGGATGTTAGCTCAGAGCTAAGTTTCCTCACCAAAAAAAGAAACTAAAAAAAAAAGAGAAAGAAAAAAGGGATACGGGGACAAAGCAAAATATAAAATATGAAGAATCAGAAAGGAGACATAACATGACAAGAAGAGATTAAAAAATAAGTGCATGATACGTGTAAAAATAAACATGAAAACCTGGGGTGAGCTTTGTTACTGGAAGAGCACTTCCATTCCCCTGGCTGGTGACTAACTCAGGAACCAGGGCAGGAGCCGGCTTCGGACCCTGAGAGGTTTGCTGGGAGCTCTGAGGAAGCTCCCCTTGCTCACCCAAACTTCTAGAACGACTCTCTCTCTCCCTCTTCTCTCGTGTGGACATGAGGCCGGGAACTGCGAGAGCCCCTTGCTGCTGGTCTAAGGACAAAACTAACACGCGGGAAAGTGAGAGGACTTGAAAGTCACAAGGACGTGAAGCCAGAAGCAGGGAACTGAGGCAACACCAAAGCTTACCCTCCCTGTGAGCTTCCCATCACGTGAGCCAAAAATCTCCTCACCACATAAGCCAGTCTGAGTAATTGTTACAGTCCAAAGCATCTGATTGGCCCTACATCATACCATAAATGAAGACTACAGTTCTGAACATTAAAAATATATATAATTATGAGATTTTAGAAAAGAGAAAAGTAGTGTGACTTTTGGGTAGAAGGGGCCTTGTTTAGCAAGAGGAGAAAACTTAAGAGCTACTCAGGAAAATACTGACCACTGACACAAAAAAATTAAAAACCCTGAATACCAAAACACACAAACACTGACTCGAACCAACACTGACACCACGTATCACAAAGGTTAACACATAATATCCAAAAGCCCCGACAAATTGATAAGAAGTACACGAACAACTCAGTGCCCGTGAGAATTCAGGCAGGCGAGCACTCTGGCAAGGCCACACGATGTTCATTCTCTCTGACCAGGAGTGACTCCTCTAGGAATCTACACTGAGGAAATAATCCTGAACATGGATACCGTTTTACGCACCAAGATATTCTTCTCAACATTGAGATTAAAACCCGGGACAACACTGTCCCTAAATTCAGAGCGTACTAGTCAAGCCACACAACGCGCTTCAGAGACCTCCCCCACTCAAGGGCCATGTTTGTTGGGAAAGTTGTCCCCTTCTCTGGGCTGCCCCAGGATGTCACCATCCCTCTCTGGGTGCACACACAGTCTACTTTCTACTATAGGCAGAGGGAGAAGTACCGTCTCTCTCCTCGGAAGCAGGCTACTGGGGAGGAGGTTGGATGTCCCCCGAGTACCCGCAGAGCCCAGCCCAGGCCCGCCCGGCATGGTGGGGGCTGTGTAGAACCCTGCAGAGCCTCAGACCACAGCCCTCGGCCTGCTCAGCCACGCCATTACCTTGGAACCGGGTCCCTCCAGTCTCCCCTCTTGTTTGCTTTCTTCGCTCTGGAGAACTCATTCACCCAAATGCTGCCAAACAAACCAAAGCGGACCTGCAGCCACCTCTCAGCTCCTCCTGCAGGGCCGTCTCCCCCTAAACACTCCAAAGCATCCTCTCCACCGGGGACAACAACCTCCCGGGACTGGGAGGGCTGGTCAGTGTTCTGGCTGTTGGGCCCCAAGGCCTGCTTTTGGTCCCCAGCCTCTTCCTTTCTCTCTCCTTTTTGTAGAGACTCTGGGAGTGGGTTGTTGCCAGAGGATCCGATTTCTTCATCTGGATCAAATCTAAGGAATAATTTCTTTCCGTGGACCTAGAAAAAAATGAACATGGTCTAAGCCTTTGGTATAGACTTGTTTGTGTCTCCCCAAAATTCATATGTTGAAAACCTAACTGGCAATGTGATGGTATCTGGAGGTGGGGCCTCTGGGAGGTGATTAGCTTATGAGGGTAGAGCCCTCATGAATGGGATTAGTGCCCTTATAAAAGAGACCCCAGAGAGCTCCCTCACCCCTTTCTGCCATGTGAGGACACAGCGGGAAGATGGCCATCTATGACGCAGGAAGTGAGCTCTCATCAGATACTGCATCTGCCAGCACCCTGATCTTGGACTTCCAGCCTCCGGAACTGTGAGAAATAAATTTCAGTTCTTCATAAGCCACCCAGTCTGTGGTACTCTGTTATAGGAATCCAAATGGACTAAGAGAGCCTTACAGACTCAGAAAGGGGAAGACAGAAGAGGTGCTTACAGACATTTATCCTAATGCAATTTCTCCCTTCTTGCCTCTTCCATGAAGCTTTCCCAAGTTGACTATTTTGGACTTGCCTTTTGCTCTTTGCTCCAGTGGTGTGGGCAGTTAGCATACGGTTTTCAATGTGATTGCAAGCTAATGGAATAACTAGATTAGCAATGAAATAGATCCATGCTAGACAGCACAGCCACCTAGAACACCTGAGGAGAAATGCTCCCAGTTTTTTCATGGATTAGCTAAGTAATAAGTACAAACTGTCATTCGTATATTAGAAATAATTAGCACACACACACACGGGCCACACACAAATTGACAGCAGCTAAAGACAACACATTGTAAAATTTGGTACCCCTCACCACCCCCCTGAAATTAGATTTGACAGAAGTAAGGGCCACAAGAGAACTCAATAAAAAAAACTACAATCAATAAAAATTGAATACTGACACAAAAATTGATCAATGAATCAAACCAACACCATTTCCTTTCCACGTATAAGGAAAAGAATTCACTTCATCCCAATGAAAATTATTTCAGTAAAAGAAAATGAGAATAGGGGATGGCCCCATGGCCGAGTGGTTAAGTTCGCGTGCTCCGCTGCAGGCGGTCCAGTGTTTCGTTGGTTCGAATCCTGGGCGCGGACATGGCACTGCTCATCAAACCATGCTGAGGCAGCATCCCACATGCCACAACCAGAAGGACCCACAACTAAGAATATACAACTATGTACCAGGGGGCTTTGGAGAGAAAAAGGAAAAAAATAAAATTAAAAAAAAAAAAAAAGAAAATGAGAATAGAAAATGTGTGTATAAGAATATTCCAGCTGCTTTGTATTCCATTTTCACACTGCTAGCTCTAGCATGTAACATGTATGTGGCCAGATCCTGGGATGGGCCTGTTGTACACGACCTGAAATTCACGGAGTCTTTTAAAGAGTTAAAACCAAAATATCTGGAGCCAGCCCTGATGGCCCGGCAGTTAAAGTTCGGCATGCTCCACTTTGATGGCCTGGGTTCGCTTCTTGGTCATGGAACCACACGATCCATCTGTCAGTTGCCATGCTGTGGTGGCAGCTCACACAGAAGAACTAGAACAACTTACAACTAGGATATGCAACCATGCACTGGGGTTTTGGGGAGGGGAGAAAAAAAAAAGAGGAAGACCGGCAATAGATGCTGGTTCAGGACAAACCTTTCCCTGAAAAAAAATAAATAAAAATCTGGCACTAATAATGGAAATGCCTGTGCTACTTTTTTGACCACCAAAGGTACAAACTTAAAGATCACAGTTCTGATATGATCAATTTGTCAATTAGTATAAAATTACAACTGCAGCAGACTTTTGAAATCCTCTCCCCAAAAGAGGGCATTACCTTTCTAAATAATTCCAGAATAAGTTATCTGCAAATCTGAGCACAGCCGTTTGCTGGCACATATTAGAAATGGTTTAACGGAGCTACTACATAAAAAACTGAGCAAGGAATTAAGTGGGCATAACAGAATTTGTTCCAGAAAACACTTTCTCGATGGAAATTCACCAACACTGGTATAATGTGGATGAAAGTATTTGTCAAATGACCCTCAGGGTCAAAACATTTACCTGGTCGAAAATCCCTAGGTCAGGATTTCCTTGTACGTTGTCCAACTTCGGCAATTTCTACTGTCCCTCTTTTAAATTCCTGTGACAATGCAGTTACTTCAATTAACTGATGGTTAACTGAGCTCATACTGTGTGCCAGGCAGTGTGCTAGGCTCTGAGGGCACACAGAGGAGTAAGTCTCCACTCCTTCCTTCTAGGAACTCGGTACTTAAAGGGAAGGAAGTTCTGACATATGCTACAACAGGATGAACCTTCAAAACATTATGCTGGATGAAAGAAGCCAGTCACAAAAAAACACACATTCCATGATTGCATGCACGTGAAATATCCAAAAGAAGGGAAATTTACAGAGACAGAAAATAGATTAGTGGGTGCTTATGGCTGGGAATGGAGGGTTGGGGCGAAATGGGGAGTGACTGCTAATGGGCACAACGTTTCTTTTTGGGCTGATAAAAATGTTCTAAAATTGATTGTGGTGATGGCTGTACAACTCTCTATGAAGATACTAAAAGTCACTGAATTACACATTTAAAAGGGTGAACTGTATGTTATGTAAATTACATCTCAATCAAGCTTTTAAGTATTTTTTAAAAACTGGAAGATTGAGTAAAAGTCTAAATATGTAGTGCGGTTTGATCCCTAGATCTCCCACCCCACCCAAACTAGGATGGGACAGAAACATTAACAGCCATGCGAGGACTCATTTATCTCCCACGCATCTGTTTTCAGGCAATGCCTGGAGTGTGTGCTCTGCGAAATGAGAGGATAAAACGGAAGAGAAGATGCTACGGACCATGTGTAGACAGACTGCTGCCTGTCTCCCAGTATCCCTCTCTTCTCTCCTCCCTACTAACAAATCTACTGATTGATGGGGACCTCAGTACACTCGCTAAAAATCTCCCAGCCTCCCTTACAGATGGGGTGGCCAGTGAGATGTACACAGGAGTGGTCAAATGTGGTTTCCAGAAACGCTCTTTAAAATGCTTACAGGTCTGTTCTGCCCTTTCCTCCTTCCTTCCTGCCTAGAATGCAGATGTAATGGTTAGAATCCCAGCTGCCATGTTACCATCATGAGGACGAGGGCCACACCCAGGGAGGGGAGAACAGGAGAAGCTTTGTCCCCAGTGATCTCATGTCATTCCCATACCACCCTGGACCACCTCCTCTGGATTTCGCATTACATGAAGAGGAAAGAAAAAAATCCTGACTTGTGTAAGCCACTCTTCTAAGTCTGTTATGAGTAATTAAATACTGATACAGCAACTAGATAGCTGACAAGGACAGTGAAGAGACATACCAGAAAAACAGCTGGCACAGAGTGGAGCCAGTATTTTCCCTGCCTCGTTAACCAACCTTGCTCATTCTATCTCCATTTTCCTCTCTGTAACTGCTTCTCAAACCTGAAATGCCCTTTCCTCTCATTTTGGTCCATCTAAATCCTCCTGCCTTCAAGGTCCAACTCAAGTCCCACCTCCTTTATGACATCTTTTCCTCCAGGCCCCAAGGACGCCATCTCTTCATGTCAAGGCCCTCAGCTGAGGCTTATCCGTATGCTCGCCTCCTCCCTATTTATTGTTACCTAACAGTTTCGCCTATGGAGACATATGTCTTACCTTCCAAGTTCAATTCTCAGTTCCTCAGGGGAGAAGACTGACCGACAGAAGCACAGAGAAGGGATCCCACTTACTACCCACTACTACTACATGCCAGGTAGTCCCCAAGGCCACCTCCTTCAGGCTTCCTTGGCCTCCTCACATCACAGACTGCTGCCTTGGTTTACTGGGAAAGCAGCTTCCAGTTCCATCTCAAGGCTCCCTTCCCACACACTCATCTGTCCACTCAGCCATTCAGTAAATATTCTCCGAGATGGCTCTGGGACGGGCACCATGCTAAGTACTGGGGATCCAGAGACGAAGGGATATAATCCTCCCCTGCGAACCTTACAGGACAGACTGGACAAACAGTCCCAATGCTCTTGTGGGAAGAACATGGACCTGGAGGTCAGGAGGCCTGGCCCCAGTCTCTGTCCCTTGCTAGCTACGTCAACTCGGGCTAAGTGCTCCCCTCTCTAAGCCCCTGTCTCCAAACACAGAAAATACAAGTGAATGTCTAGAAGACCTCTCCCAGTTCTAACCAGGAATGGTTTTACGGCCCCTGGGGAGTGTGTGTCTGCGTGGTAGGTAGTTTATCCCCATTTCACAACTGCAGAAACCAGAGCTAAGTCATTACGTAACTCGCCTAGGAGCACACAGCTGAGCAGCAGCAGAGCTCATTTATTTTTTCTACAGCCAATTACTATATGCTTCTAAGCACTCTAAGTGCCTAAGCACTCAGCTAGGCGCTCAGGATACCGTATTAATGAGGACACAGCCTCTGCCCTGTTTATCTGTCTCCTCCACTCAGCAAGCAACGCAAACTCAGCAATGAGGGTCCAACAGGAGGAAGCAGTACAGGGGGTCCTGGAAGCACAAAGAAGTCTCTCTCCCCCGACCTAGAGCAGGCAGGGCAGGCTTCTCAGAGAATGTGATGGCAAGGCTGAATCCAGAACAAAGACTAGGAATTACCACGATAACATGAGGGACAAGAATGGGGTCAGAGTCGGGAGGAAAACGAAGACCTGCCCAAGCAGGGGAGCAGACTGTCAAAATAAGGGGCAAGAAGGACTGTTAGAGGAGCTCCAGATAGTTCAATATGATTGGAAGAGAGAGTAAGAAGCAGGCTAGAGAGGGAGGCACGAGTCAGTCCACAAGGTACCCTGTGCCTCCCTTGAAGGAATTCTGACTTATGCCCAGGGCAAAGGTGAGTCGGGTGGAACCTAGATCAGAAGGCTTGGCTCTTTCCTTACCTCCTTGCTGGCCCAGTGGGATTAAACATGATTCCCAACCAAAGGTGCACATCAGAGTCAGCTGGAGTGATCAGAATCTCTAGCTCGTGCATGTATATTTTTTACAGTCCCACAGGTCACTGTGATGCTCACTTCTGGCTGAGAAACGTTGGATGGAAAGAGGAGGAGCTGCGTGGAGTCCGAGTGTGGGTGCCTTGGGTTCAAGGAAATGATGCATGAAAAGTCTTGAGATAAAATTCTAGGGGAGGCACAGCTGCTGATGAAGCCAGGACACCTGTGTGACATATCAGACAAGCCCAGCCTAAGAGGATGAACTCACCTGGGTGTCCTGGAGCCACAGGGACTGAAAGCTGGCAGGGTTTAGCTTCTTACTGCTGCCACCTGTTCTGACCACCTGCTGCCCCACAAAGGGGGAGACCAAATGGTGAAACTTCCTCACAGATGGCCCTTCTGGCATCCCTGCAGGCAGAAATGGGGGAAAGAGGCCACTGACTTAGCTAGTTTTTTTCTAGCAGTTCTAATGGGTGCCAAACTCCAAGCTTTCAAGCAGCTACTTTTTGCCACCAACTTTAAGAGTATCTATGGCCAAAAAGGGAGTGTGGCTGGGGAGGGCAGTCAGACCAAAGAGAAGGACCAGCTGTGGCAGGGCGCAGGCCAGCTTCCCAAGAATGGTTTCCCTTTCCAGCCCTTCTCATCTTTCTTCAGGCAGCAAACACTTATTAAGCACCAACAGTGTGCTCAGCATCATCTCATGGGCGCCCTCCGCTCTGATCCTGTGGCAGCTTGAACAGGAGCTGGACTTTGCTACTTTTTGCCTGTACTGTGGGCCCCTAACTCATCTCCACACTTTCTCTGTCCTCTCCTTTCTGCCCCTCAAAACCAATCCTCCCAACCCACTGCTGCTGATTTATTTGCCCCTTCAGCGGAGAGATGGTCACAGAAGAGAAAGCTGTAAGGGACACAAGGACATATGTGGATCCAGCTCTTCCAGGACCACGCCCTAGTAGAGGCACGGTGGATGTGATGACAATGCAGAGCTCAGAATCAGGACAAGTGCAGGCATGGGGTCATGTTGGTTCAGAGCAGGGAGAGGCCACATCCAACTTAACTACAAATAATTGTCCACGGTAAGTGAGGAACAACTGGGGTTCCTCAGGTAGGGTTATCTGTGACCCCCATCTCTCCCTGCTCCAAATCATCCAAGTTCGCTGAGAACTTGTGCATAAGGCGTCCAGGTGTCTGAGTCTGAGTGGTCTGCATCCCGCCTGTCAGACACAGAAGTGCCCCCCACCCTTACCCAGGGGACGCTACTTAACCACCTGCTCCTCACCTGCACAAGTTTCTATAAGTTATGATGAAAACCCAAAGAACTAAGGAGGTACCTGGCATGGTGGGAGCTACTGTATTTCAACAACTCTAAAAAACATTTTAAAATCTCTGAAATGGGGATGCCTCTTACAATCCATGCTTTCGTCTAGTTTAATTGGCAGCACATTCACGGACGTGTATTTTAAATTTGATGCTACTTAGAGTCGCTAAAATGTAGAAATATTTCCCCTAATCAAACCTTCAAGACACTCAAGAGGCTATCCTGACAAAACCGCGGGGCCGCAAGGAGGCTTGCCATTCCGCAGCCGACCTTAACCTCAACCAGCTCTCCGTGCCCTGGTCATCTCCAAAAGAGGAAGCTTCTGGAAAGCCTCCCTCTGAAGCGCACTTAGTCCTTAAAAATCTCTCGACACCCGGGCATGTTTCTTTTAGGTATATTTACGGAGCTGGAAAACTGAGCAGCAAGTTGCCGCTACCATCGCCTTAAAAGATTAGAACCAGAAGGGAAAGAGATTTGGTGGACAAACCATGCCCACCTTCAAGTCCCCTCCCTCAAGCTGTTCACCGCGGCGAGGCTGGGTAATGGCTCGCTATCGGACCACGCTGAAAGCAGGAGAGGAGAGGGGCGTCACCTGCGTCCTCTTTTCTAAAGTCAATCATTCATTCCCGGAGGGAGAGTCTAAAACGGCTGCTTTTCCCAACTCTCTTGGGGGTCAGCGGGGAGAGAGGTGGACCCAGAGACGAGGCTGGAGGGCCCTGGGGGCCTCGCAGCGGGGAAATGCACGGAGGCACAGTGGCAAACAAACAAATTCGGCCCGGGGCGCGGGCTCCATCAGGGACGCTTCTAAAACGTTCAGTAACTCAGGTTCCACGCCGCGAACAGGGTGAGGACGCCGCGCGCAGGCCGCCGTACGGCCGGGGAAAGCCCTGCCTTTAGGATGGAGGGCCCGCCGGCCCGCTCCCCCAGCTCCCCGCCGCGCAGGCCACGGGGAGCGCGGCCGGCAGAACTCACCGGCTCCGGGCCCGCGGCCCCTCGGCTCGGCCCTGCAAGGCCCAGCGCCGGCGAAGGCGGGGACGAGTCGGCCGCCGCGGAGGTCGGTCCGCGGGTTGGGGTTGGGGGCAAGGGGCGTGGCGCCACGCTCCTCCCTCGGGGGTCCGGGCGCGGGGGCAGAGCGGGGCGCCGCCCCGGGGTGAGCGCTGGAGGCGGGGCTCTGTCCTGGAGCGGGCGGGGCGAGCGCGCGGCTCCTCCCCTAAGAGGGCCGCTGGAGGCTGGGAGGCGGCCGAGGGTCGGTGTCGAGCGCGGGGGTGGGAGGCGGGCGGAGAAAGACCGAGACGGAGCCGGTGGTGGAAGGAAGCCAGCCGCCCTTGGAAAGTGGATTGTCTTACTGAGACAGACGGTTATAGAGAAAAGTTGCTGAATAGGAGCGCTTTGGTTGTTTCAGGCAGAGGCGAGCTTTTGAGCTGATTTGACTCGGCTTCCAAGCCCAGCGAGGTAATTGTGAAAAAGAAACAGGTTGTCAGGAAATTGTCATGAAACTTTTGGAGGGGGGGGGAATCTTTCACTTTATGTTATTTAAATATTATTATTTGAATTTTTACCATAAACAGATTTTCCTTTAAAAGTAATATTTGTATATTAAATTATCTCAAAGAATAAAAGAGAGAAAATAGTAGACTATTTCAAAATAAGTATGTTCCTTTGTTAGCTCTCCAAAGAGGATGAGGAGCTGACACTTTCCAAGAAGTCAGCAGGGAAGTTCAGAAGTGCAGGAGCAGGTATTCCAGAAACTGTCCCGGATGGCAGGCACCCTGGACCATAGCTGAGTCCTTGGGAGGACTTGGCCAGCACGGGGAGGCAGGCCCAGTCCCTCCTCGGACAGGTGGCCTTCTGAAGGGGCGAGGGCAGGAAGTGAGGAGAGGAAGGCAGGGAAGGCCTGGGGTGCTGGTACCCACGGTCCTCAGCACACAGGAACTCTAGAGACAGAGGTGAGATTTGAGGACATGGAGTTTCCAAGAGGGATCCCCCCAGAGCCTTCTGGTCTCCCTCTTTCTCTATCTGGCCTCCTCTGGAGAACATCCCTATCACAGGATGCCCCCTGCTGTAGGATCGGGCACACCCCACCAGTAGCTGCTGGAGCCCCCAACTCCCCATTCTGTAGACCCTGGCTGAGCTGGGAAGGACGGCAGAACCATAATCCCTGCCTCACCTCTTGGAATGAATGCCTGGTGCCTAAGAGGACTCTGCTGAGGCCAAAGGGGTATACAGTTGAGAAACCAGATGACTCTGTTGTCATTTATAATAGTAGCTGTTTGTTGAGCACATACTGTGTGCAAGATACCAGTTCTAAGCTCCTTACATATGTTGCCTCATTATTAGCCGTGGGAGACAAGGAAGTCACAATATCTAAATCTATTCATGTGTTAAGTGGGATATCTATTTCACGGTGTTACTATGGAAATATAAAGCAGGGCTTCTCAAACTGTAATGTGCATATGAGTCACCTGTGAATCTTGTTTAAATGCAGACGCTCACTCAGGTTTGTAGCAGAGCCCAAGATTTTGCCTTTCCAACAAGCTCCCAGGTATGCTGCTGCTGCTAGTCCTAGTCCGGGGACTGCACTTGGAGCAGCAAGGATTTAGAGCACAGCGCTTGGCAGTTGGGAGGCACTCATTAAATATTCTTTGGATGAATGATTAAGTGAGATATCAGATACAAAACACTCATACACTGTAAAGTGCGATGCAAGTGTATGCAATCATTCTAAGACAATACGGCTAGGGAATCTGCCTGGAAAAGAGCAAGCTCCTAGAAGAGAAATGTAGAATAGCAGTGAAGAACCCTGTTCCTGCATCTGGCAACGTGGGTCCAGATCCTACCACTCAGCAGGCAGAGCTTGGGCAAGTGATTTAACCTTTCCGTACCTCAGTTTCTTCAGCTGTAAAATGGAGTGAAATGCCTCCCTCACTGGACTACTGTGGGATTTACTGAGATGATTCACTTAAGCCTCTTAGCACTGGGCCTGGCATATAGTAACAGCTCAATACATTTTAGTTATTATTTGCCTCCTGAATTGGAGGCAACCCCAAAGCCCACAGGAGTCCGGACCTCAGCACTTATGGGGGTCAGTGCCCAGCTTTCTAAGGGCCAAGGAGCCAATTCCTCCCTTTTCCTTTGTGCCCCTGATTTCTCCAACAGGGTTAAAGTTTTAATGAACGTGAAAATCGATTAAAATACAACCACCTCAAAGACAGCAAGAAAGGAAGTGAAGGAGACAAGCAGTAGGATCCGGTGAGGAATCAAATTGCCAATGGAAGCGTGTGGGGATTCTGACCACACTGAGGAGGTTTCCCATGTTCCTGGAGGCACCTGGGGAGCAACAAGGGCTGAGAGTGAGGCTCCTGGGGCTGTTCTGGTTGCCCCTCTTTTGGGCTTGTAATTGTGGACAATAAGCCCTATCCCTTGGTTGGTTCTGGTCCTTTTTTCATCATGTCTAAATTGGGAGAATTTGGAACCAAGGATTCTCCCCAGCTTCTAGAAAGATGATGAGAGACTTCATCTTGGAGTGGGACCCAGACCCAGGCTGTGGGGGTTTCCAGCTTTTAGGTTTCCACTTGTTAGGAGAGGCAGGGGTGGGGTATAAAAGCCCAGATTCTGGAGTCAAATAATAGGTGTGGTTTGAATCCTGATTTTGCACGTACTAGTCCTGTGACCTTCAGTGAATTTCTTAAAATCCATGGGCTGTATCTTCTTCGTGTGCAAAACATGGTTGGAAGGATGTATAAATGTTTTATGTGGCTATGTAAAGCCACGCACAGCGTTTGATGTGCAGTAGCGCTCCATTAGTAGTAGGTACTTAACTTCAGCAGAATTTCTGGACTGATTGAAGTTGAGATTGCTTGGAAATCGAGCTGTTACATTCTGGAGGCCACAAGGGAGAGAACATTGTTGCCCCCACATGGTGAGCACGTTAACTGCAAGGACAGCTCCTTCACGCCCATCTCAGGGGCTCCCTAGTGAGGCTAGGTGCTGCTCTTCCTCACGCCAGCTCTGTGGCCTTGGGCAAGTTCCCTTGATGATGGTGGGACAAGAGGACTTGGACCAAATGATCTGTGAGACCTCTTATGATCTGTAAGTGACTCAGGCAGGATCTCCCAATCCTTTGGAGAAAAAGGTGTCCTTTTTCCTAGGGGGGTTCAGTTTTCTTTCCGTTCCTTTAGACTCTCCCCAGGCCAGTTATTGGAAACCTTTGCAATGCTAACTTCCCCAAATCCTTAGCAGCTGTGTCCTGTAACCCCATTGTACTCCCATAGACCCCAGACCTATACCCTCCTGTAAGGAAAGGGCTACCAGGAATTCCTCAGCCCTGTCCTTGTGTGAAAAACTAGGTTTTAGGCTGCAGGACGTCCCAGGTACCTAGAGAAGCTCCAGGGGCCTTGACAGCTGCCCTGGGACTGTTTGACTTCTTGACTTCATAGCGAAACGGGAAGATTTACTCTGGGCCCGAATTGTCCAACCACGTGCCAGGACACCCTAGACAGAGCTGACCTGGTCAGTTTAACCACCACAGCCTTGCAGCGTGGACTAAACCAGAGGCTGAAAGCAGGAGTTCTTAACCTGGGGTTTAAGGAGAAGTTTCCAGAGTTCGTAAAACCCCTAAAATGGTGAATGGTATGCAAAATCTCAGGCAGTGTGTCCCTGTCTGGGAAAGTGGGCATGGCTTTTGTTACATTTTCGGAGAGGTCTGTGACCTCAAAAGTTAAAAAACCACTGCTCCAAATTGCAGAAATGACTTTGAGTGTTCTCTGTGCAGGACCCTGCGGGAAACCTCGGAGGTGTGTTCCAGTTTGGTAACCCGTGGGCGCTCTCACCTCTCATCAATGCGGCTGGATAGTGAGGGGAGACACCAAGCTCATTTGATGGATTGAAGAAAACACACCTGAACTAAAGCATAGCATGCTTTCGTCTTCAGTGTGGCAGCCATCGAAGACTGAAGATGTCTTCCATCACTTCTGCTTCCCTCACTGGGATTAGCTTCCAGAACCTATAGACCATTCAATACCTCTCCACTGAGGGCAAATTTCTATTCTTTGAAGAAGCATTTAGAATCAAGACTGGTGACAAAAATTGGTCAGGTGATCTAATTGTTTGGGGCCCCAAACTAAATGTGGCTAAGAAGCAATAAGTCCGGTTCTCTTAGGGTGATAGGATCGCATCCTGAATACTATCTAAAGGGAGTTCCAATATGTTTTTGCAATGGCTGCAACATTGGAGTAAGTAGTTTCCAAGGTGGCTGCTGTGAGAGACAGTGCTCATCTGGATGGATAGTTTCTGAAACATTTTTAAACCTCATTACTTGGGTCACAACAAAAGTACTGTTTTCCACTTGGAGAACATCAATCTGGAGTCTCCAGAAGGAGCATTTTTTCAAATCTTGGGGCCCTGAAGTTTCATCTGTACCAAGAAGAGTGTGTAAGACCCAGAGAGAGGTGAGCCACGTTCCTCCAGTTTGTGGTTTCAGAGCTGCTGGCCCACAGTCCTGGATGCTAGATCTCATTCAGTGTGACTCCAGGGAATCATTTCTTTATATCTTTTCCTGACCATCCTCACAGCATGACAGAGTACCAAAAAGGAAAGGGGACTTCTGCTCCTCGTATGATACAGATATCACAAGGATAATTTCAGATTATTTGAGCAATCATGACTGCTTAGAACTCAAAGGGACCTTAAAGATCCTCTAGTCCAAAACATTTTACTGATGAAGATGCTGAGGTGAACTGTCCAAAGTCACACATCTAGATGATGGCCAAACCTGGACTAGAATTCTGAGACCTCAGAATCCCCTGTTTTGGGCTCTTTCTTGTGGACTCCTCCATTTTTTGAGGAAGCACAGGTGGATACGGATACAGAATGCATTCCAAGAAGTATGACAGCAGGCCCCTCCTGGAGCCCCCGGGACCCAGAGATCCACCCAATAGGAACCCACAAGTCATTTTTAAATAGTCAAAAAGCCCCAACATCACCATCCATCTAATAGCCATACCAAGACTGCAAAGCAAACTGAATCGACTGTCTTGGCCTCAGACAGAAACTCAATCAGCTTTGTCTATCAACTATCTGGTACTTGTTATCAGAGATTAGCAGTCATGGTTTTTTGTTCTTTTTAAAATTGAGGTGTAATTTACATGTGTTTTTTGTTGTTTTTTTTTTTGATCTATGAGAAATCAGGAAAAGCCCAAATAATTATGTAGATAAAACAGTTTGAAAACATGAGAACTGTGGCAGGGGTGGGTGGGGTAAAGGGGACCTGGCTGTGGTGAGGCTGGAAGCCACCTTAAGGAACGCTGCACCATGAGCTACTGTAACCATGTCACAGAGTGGGGGAAAACAGGTTGCTGTCCTGAAAGTGTTTATGCCTGGGGCAGTCTTTGAACAACACAGTGAAAAGCACATTAAATGGCATTACCCATCGCTTTGTTCAGCAGAGGCCTGGGCCTGGGCCTATTTAGGATTCTGTTATTTGAGTGTTTTCTCATCACATCTTTCCCCCATCCCAGCTCAAAAGTCTCAGATAATCAAAGACTCTAGAAATAATGGTTATTTTCAATTTTTTATTTTCTTGAGTTCTAAACGACAAGGACAGAGGAGGAATGATAAATCTAAGGTTTTTACATCTCTAATTCCAACCCATTTCATTTGAGCAAATCCATCTTAAAGTAGAGGCAGCACAAGAGACGAGGGTATCTTCTTTGTAAGAGGGGTCTACTAGTATTGTCTACGGGTATTGTTTACTAGTATTGAGCTGCTTCTGAATTAACTCCTTGCAATCAGTCACTGATTAGGAAACTGCAACTGCCCAGTGATTAGAATTTCAGGTGCACCAAGTTAAAAACCTCTTATAAACCCAGTGCAGGGTCACATGGTTGTTTCTCAGGTGAAGGGGCCACCACAGCTCCGGACAGAAGGCAACCATTGGAGAGCAGGGAGGGGATGGAGTGTATGTGAGGGGAGTGTGATGAGGGGTTTCATTTGTCACTCTCTTTGAGTCTGTCTGAAGACCTCCCCACATAGGGCCTACAACCACTTCTACAGCCCGGGCCTAAGAGCAGGTGCCTCACAGGCTTTTTCTGATTCCTCTGTTCTTGTTAACACAGGGCACAGCTGTGTGGTCCCCACTCTCTGTAAAACTAAAACCACCATCTCCCAAGGCTTCAGCCAGAAGAGTGAGCTAACAATGCACAGGCCAAAAGAAAACTGGACTTGGAAAAACTAGGTCTGTTTTAATGTCTTGTCCACTTGGATTATTTAGTTCTCCTTGGCACTGAATATTTTGCAAATGCCACTGCCACAGCTACTGGAGGGGAGATAAAAATCACGCCAGAGCCAGAGTGGTCCAGAACAGCAGCGCTCCCCAGAAGGCTCCGGAGCAGAGGCCTCAGGAACTGAAATGAAGGCAACAGTGTCCAGGGGCAGAGAGACCTCGGGAGCATAGATTCCCGGATTTCACTCCCCAGGCTAAGCCTTGAAGCTTTGAGACTGGTCCTTGGTTAAGGGATGAGACATTATTCGCGTTGTGATAGGATGGCATTTTTGTGTTCTAGCTTCACACAAGGCAAGGATGCAATCTGAAGCACACTTTCCAATGTCAGAAAATGATTAAAAAACCAAAAACCAACCACCTCCACTCCACAATCAGCTTTCCAAATGGCTGTTTCTCATGCACCCAATATCCAAGTAAGTATGTCAAGTTCGGGGAGGGGGGGGTTCAGTCAAATAACCTCCACCCCTGCTCTATTTGGTGCACATTCAGTGAATACAACCTTATTTTCACTACTGTCAGCCCAAGCCAAACATAATCACAGCTAAACCTGCTACTACTCACCCCCTAAAGGCATTCAAAAGTCAGATATTAAGATTAATGCTCCCCAACTGTTAAAATGATTTGATCTGTGCTTCAGGTTTTGTCACAGCAAGAGATGAGACTGTTCTGAGGGAATGTGAGCGACTTCTTAACCTGGACAGATGCACACTGGCAGCTTCACTCACGACACTAAGCCAGACATTTACTCTAATGATACCATCATTGCTGGCCCCCACCCCCATCGTTCCCCCAGCCACTTCCCAACCGTCTGGGAACTGCATCCTTTAGAATATCCCGATTGGCACTACTCGGCCTCCTCTGAGGATACATTTGATTTGGGACGGCAACCATGTTTGGTGAGAAAGGTGAATCAAGCTAGATTATACCAACTGGCGTGAAGCACAGGTTACGACTGTATAAGGAAGGAGGTCGATCTTCTGGTATTGTATATAATTTTGTTCTGAAAGCCATTCCTAAAGGGAAGTGGCAAAAATGTTTTCAACAAAGACTTTATCATCAGAAAACACGTACTTCCCAAGGCCAACGTAAATCCTGGTAGGTTTTATTTTCGTTTTTAGATCTCTCTCGTTCCTCTTAGTTGCTGGAGTTATCTGCTACTCATCTTCTGGATGGTAGCTACATTTAATAGGTTTGGGTATCCCTTAGCACGTTTAAAAGCTTTTCTGATTTTACATAGAAGAATGGTTATTATAGTTTTTATTCTTACCTGCTCAGTAATAACAGGGGTGCTGTGAAAGGTCATAGGCCACCAGTTGCCCAATAGGTTTGGCATAAGCCATTTGAGAGAAGCAGGAAGCCAACGTGAAGAGTTCTGAGTGAGGGTGGATTTGCTTGTCTGGGTCCCATTCTACAGGTTCCGAGTCAGAGGGTGGCCTAGGACCACTGCTTCCCACCCCCACCCCACTTTTAAGATGATGCAATTAAGGAATTTTGTAGCCGAAGAAGGTGAAGACCAAAGGCATAAAGGAGAAGCAGCTTTGCTCTGCCCCTTCTGTTGGTGTGGAGCATCACTTGCCTGGATCAAACCATAAAGAAGTGGAGGATGGCAAGAACAGCTCATGGTGACCCTCCAGCACACATCCTTCCTTTTTTTTTTTTAAGTGTATTCTTTTTTTTTTCTCTCTGGGAATGGTTCTCTCTTTTTTTTTCCTCCCCAAAGCCCCAGTAACCTAGTTGTATATTCTAATTGTAAGCCCTTCTAGTTCTATGTGAGCTGCTGCCACAGCTTGGCTACTGACAGATGAGTGGTGTGGTTCCGTGCCCAGGGAACTGAACCCAGGCTGCCGAAGTGGAGCGCACTGAACTTTAACCACCAGGCCATCAGGGCTGGCTCAGCATGCACCTTAAATCAGGTGGGCTGGAGAGATCACTGCCCTGCAGCTCTGCCTCATGCTCCAGCCCCTCGTGTCCCTCAGGGGAGCTCAAAAATGGCTCTCCTTCATTGGGTGACAACTGTTAGGATGCAGGAGCTTTAGTTAACGGCTGGTCCAACCCTCTCCTAGAGGTTACCTGTCAAAGTCACAAACTAGTCAGTAGCAGGGCTGGGCTGAGGGTTCTTTTCACTAGCCACCACCACACAGAGGAAGTCTTGCCCAACTGCCAAAAATGAAGGAAGGGAGAAGATGATTTTAGACGCAGCCTGTGAGCGGATCAGCGAAGGGGCCCTGTGGCTCAAGATCACCTTGCAAAGGGCAGCAGTGAGCCTCCAGTGAAGACCTCCGAGGCAGGAGAAGAGGGAGAAAGGAGTACAGATAAATTTATTAGTTAAATACTGATTTTACAGCCATTTCACCTTAAGACAATGTTAACAGGTTTGTGGGTCAGGGAAGGTATATGAGGGTGCCCTTCATGGAAGAAAGCAATGTAAATAATGATTAAAACAGAATCTTGGTTTAAAGATATTCTCTGCTACAGCCACTAGGATTTTTGGGTGGGGGACTGGGTGTTGGGGGTAGGACACAGAAAGGCCACAGTCAGCTACAGCTCTGTTGAGAAAGAGGACACAGAAAGAGGAGTCTTTGTGAGCCCCAGCATCATGGGCAGAAACAGCAACGTGGAGAGAAGGCCAACTCTAGAACAGCATGGAGCTGGACAGCCCTCAGGGCCCAGCCTCAGTTGTCTGCTCTTATCGGTTGTCGTCTCTCTTTCCATGAGTTTTGTTTTGTTGTGTTTGTTTGCCTTGAATTTATGTTACAAAATCCTTGGCTCTTCACCCCCTGGACAAAAGACTTCTGCTGGAGAAAGGACACAGGTGCGGGTGCGGGTGCGGGCACTACGTGCTCCTTGGACGGACTTGGCCTGCTATCTGACCAAGAGGCACATCTCTGCAGAACATCAGCGTCAGCAAGATCCAAGTGCAAGCAAGCAGAATGCATGGAAGACCCCCTGCCACCCCACAGTCCTGGCCCCAGCCCCGGGGCCAGTGTCCACCAGACATCCTCTCCAGAAGGATCTCAAGTCTTAGATGAGTGTTCGTCAAACTTGCTGTAGCAGCAGAAGCTTTTTTGTTCTTATTCAGAACCCCGTGTATGTGATGGGGTAGATGAAGGATTCTGAGAGGCAGACTTGTAGGGGCTGATGTTTGGCTAAACTGCTGAACTCTCGTTTTGCTGAGGGAGAAATGTTCAAGCTGAAGGCAGAGCTGAATCATTCAGAGCACTGGAAGGGATTTTTATTTTCAGAGGCCTTGGTGGTGCAGAGAAGGAGCAAAGGATGAGGCCATTAGCCAGGGAAAGGAACTTGAGGGAAGGCGAAGTTGCCAAGGTGCCATTTTGTCGAAGTCATACCGTGTGGCGGGTGAAGCGGCCCTCTCCTCCATCTCCCCACAAAGCAGTCAGTAACGTCAGCGCTACACCCAGTGTTTTTGGAGTCAAGATTCGGTATTGAGGGATGCAGGGGGTGCCGAGCCTGGAGGGGAGTGTTCGGCAAGGGCAGGAGCTGCCTGGGATGGGGCCTGTCACATCCAAATGCTCCTCAGTCAGATGCCCTGGTTCAGGCTGGAGCAGGGGTCCCAGCACCCTGCCCCCTCCCCCCCCCCCGCCCTCAGCTCCCTGTGCTGGGAACACCATGGAAAGAGGAGGACATCTCCTCTCTTGTCGGGGGTGGGGTGGGGCGGGGCAGGACAGGGCGGAAAACAAGAAAGAAATCTCTAACTCCACGGAAGGGACTTATGTGTGCTCGTAGTGAAGGGTGGGCTCTTCTGGATCAGAGTCTGGGCTCTTTCCAGTTCCCCACCTTGAAAGGTCTCCAATAAAATCCAACACCCACCTCCCCTAACCAAATCGTCGACTTCAAGTTTCTTCCCAGTTGTTCTTGTGGAGTCATTCCCAGACAGAGCAGGCCGGCCCCCGGGAGCCCCGAGCCTCGTCTCTGCTCTCCTCCAAGTCCCAAGTCTGTGCAGGAATCTGAGGAGGGAAGGAGGTGTCATTATGCGGTGATTATGTCCCCATGACTGTCAGCCAAGGCCAGGCTGTTCCAAGGGTCCTGCTTGGAGCTGGCCTGCGGTGACTGGCTGACAGAAGACGCGTAGCCTTGTGGGGAGAGCTTCAGGGCTGAGAGGACCGGGTGGATGGAGGGCCCGTGGCCAGACATCGCACTGACCGAGAACGTCTGAAAGCAAAAAGCGCAAGATGAGGTCAATGGAATCATCCTAAGGGCTCTGGAGGGGAGGGCTGGGCTGGAGAGGGGAGCCCCAAAACGCAGATGTCCCCAGGCTGGCTCCCACCCAGAGGAAAGGGATGAGAGGAGAAGGCCAAAGGACAAGGGACCAAGCAGCACTTCTCTCTCTTGTTCCTAAGCCCTGGGCTATGGGAAGCAGAGGGTCTGTGTGCTTCATCAGCTGCTTCTGAGCACTATGACCCAGCAGGTTGGTGAATGCTCCACCTTCTCAGAAGGCTCTGATAGTTACATCAGACATTTTCTACAATCTTATCACCATCAGATCTCCACTTTCAAGCAGAAACCATCCTTCCTGCCCGGAAGGCACTCCTGGCTCTCCTGGTTCTATGGCACCGGCTTCTTTTCACCCTAACAGTAGAAAGCTCATTAGGACACCACCTCCCTCAAATACAGGTGGGCAAGAGATCAGAGTTCATGGGAGACTAGGCTTGGGAGCATCCTGATCCCAAATGAGGGGAACCATAGTGGGAAGGGCGGGGAGGAGCAGGGATGCCATCACATCCAAAAGAGGGAAATGAGGGCACTGCTGGCCCATCTGGACACATGTATGAAGCTGAACCTGCAGCCGACAGTCATTAAAATGGCATCCTGCTGGGGACCTCCTCACCAATCCCAACCCACCCACTCTGTCCTACGCAGTTTGCCCACACCAAGAGGGTCCTCCTCCTCTCCTTCCTCTTGTTAAAATCTACTCATCCTTCAAGGTCAAGGTCACGCTACCCCTCACTTAGGAGACAGATTAGCCTAGGAAGCCCCCGCTCTGCCTCCTACAGCCCCCTACAGTTGTACCACCCTCCCTCAATGCACGCAGTCTGATTCAGGTTGTAATTGTGTGTCATCCTGTGTGCCAGCCCTGGACTCCCCTCTCCTTGTCTCCAAAGGTCCTGGCATAAAGGAGCTGCTAAACATTTGTGTATCACAGTTATGTGTCCAAATCACGGTAGCTTGATCAGATGTGCTGAAATACATCCTTGTGCAGACAGCCCCTAGCCCTGGTGGGGCTCTGAGGGCACCAAGTGTCTCCCACTGGCCACCTGCTGGTGCCTCCAGTGCTGGCCTGGCCATCTGGTCCTCTGGAGTCTACTTCCCTGTGGGCAGTCCTGCCTCCCCACCCAGGGGCATACCTGGGACATAGAGCTGCTGTGCCCATAGTGGGACGACAGCCCGGGCTCTGTCTTAATGGGGCGCATCTCTTCACTGCTGCTGGTAGCCACGTTACTGGAGTTGTTGGAAGCGCTGCTGGTGGGAGGAAGGCTCTCACTGCCCGAGGGACCTGGAACAAGGCAGAGTCAGGACACCCAGACCAGGGGCAGAGACAAACAGATGGCAGTCCTTTGAGACAGCCAGGGTAGGTCAGTGCTAATGGCTTTATTTACATTTGCTGGGGAGAGAACCAATGCAGGGCAATGGTTCTCAAAATGGGGCAGAAGTCTCGGAATTTCAAGGGAACTTTTTCAAATGACAGGCTGACCACCCCTTATCCCAAACCCGTGAGGCCACATGTGTTTCAGGATTGAAAACTTTTTGAATTTTAAAAGGGGCAAATTCTCTACATGATAGAATACCTCCAACGGGGTCTGGGAGAACACCCCATTATTAAATATATTAATAGTTCCACAGCAAAACATGTGAATATTCACATATGGGATAAAGACTATAAATAGCCTATGTCTGTTTAGATTAGGTTTTGCTGCCAAATCTAGCTCCCTGGACTTGCAATTTCAGACAGGGGATTGTACACCTGCACCAAATGCTGGCTTTCCCGGTGACTGTGGCAGATAAGGAGAGGAAGTACCCAAGGGAGTGTGCTACACTGATACACAGTGTGGAAGCAGCAAGAAAGGCTGAGGACCACGGCTGTGAGACACAGAAAATTCTGATAAGACATGACTGCCAAAAGGGGTCAGCCATTGTTGAATCTAGAAAAGGAGAACTTTGGTCATGTTCTTGGTAATTCTTGGAAAGGGGAAATTTATCTGACTTTGCTGTGCCTTTGATTAGAGGGTAAACTTTCCATCAGATCAGCCGATTTATTTTCTCTGTGACTGCAGCATTTCCCAGTGAAATCTGTAATTTGGTAGCAGTACTGAGGAGGGTGCACTCTTGATAGGGGATGTAAGCCATCCTCATTCTTAATCTAGAAATTGAGAAGGCAGAGTGGTATATTGGACAGAACATGGACCCTGAAGTGTAAAAACCTGGGTTTTAATTCTAAACCTACCCATTCCCAGCTGTATGGCTCTGGTTAAGTCACTGCCCTCTCTGAGCCTCAGTTTGCTCATTAGTAAAATGGGGATAATAAATAGGGTCTCCTGGGGGGGCTTCAAGGATCACTGAGATAGCATTTGTGAAGGAGCTTTCTAAAGTACAAAGTACGACATGATGTCAGTAGTACGATGGCTTGCAAATCAATCTGTGTGAACGTGACTCTGGGACCCTGTCCTCCTCGATCCATCCCAGTTAGCCCAAAGAGAATTGAAAAGCATTGAGTTCTTAAGTGGCCGCAGCACTTAAGATGGAGGGACCGAGTACTGTTCCTTTCTCCTTTAGGCCCTTGACTAGTCCAGCTGGCCCACTGCAGACTTTGCAACTGGCAATAATCAGGCCACAAACTTGAGTGGAGCCTGCTTCAAAAGCTCCCAGTATGTTCCATGGCGATGTTACTTTTTTACTAGGTTATTCATTCTGTCCTGAAAAGCCAGGATGAAAGATGCTATCGTTACCCTTCGGCAGCCTGGGCTGGCCCGCCTCACTAATACACAATCCTCACACACACACTGAGGACTACTGAGTTATTCCTATAATTACACACAGATCTTTTCCTCACCTGCTGGTGTCTTAGATTTATTAAGGTTCTTTGGCTTCCGTTTTCTGGTTTGAATCCCCTCTTTCCGCATCGCAAGAGGCCTGGGGACCTAGGAGGTCACAAGTGAATATAAATGGTTTTCCATTTGTACACGATCTGTTACAGTATTTAAATACACACACACTCAAACACTGTGAGAAGGCAACATCTAAGCACTTCCTCTAAGAACCTTGGGGCTGAGACTAAGTGAATCAGCCCCTGGAACTCCTGCTGAGAAAGAAATCAATTCTAATAAAAAAAAATGCATAGAGCACCTGTATTACAAGCTGGGTATTATGCTAGATCCTGGAGAAACAGCCTTAAAGACACAGTTCCTTCCCTCCAGAGTTTCACCGTTTAGTGGGAAAGACAGACAAATAGAGAACAACCAGACTCATGGGTGAAGTGGGAGAACAGAGAAGAAACTTTAGACTGTCCTGGACTGGGGAAGAGGGGTAGTGGCCCATGAGCTCATCAAGGAAGACTCTGCCAAGGAGGTGATGCCTGAGCTGTGGGAGGTCGTCAAGCAGACACGGGGCAGGCGTTTCAGGCAGCAAGAACAGTATGTGACAAAGTCTTTACTTTATCAGCCACACCAGGACACTGTGAAAGTGAAAAGGGGGCACTACTACTAATTATGCCAAGAAAACAGGCATAAACCGAGACAGTCCCACTGAGTCAAGACATAAAGTCGCTGTCTTTAGAGCAGCTCTACCCTGCGTGGAGTCTGGCTAGAGCAAACAATGGTGTTTCCAAGGGCAGTGGGAGCAGCAAGAGATTATGCTGGAGAGACTGCCCTGTGGCCAGGTCTTGAGATAAACTGTCCGTGGACAATACATTAATCACATCTGACTTCTCATAAACAAGTGGTGACTGTTGAGCGTGATGCTCTTGAGCCATTTACAGATGGCGAAATAAGTGTCTGGGGAGCAGGACTGCAGGGTCCTCTTCTACTGTTGTTAAATATGCTGCCTTCCCCACATCTGGTTTCTTTTAGGCCTGGCCAACCAAATCTTTTAGCCTCTGGTCTATGCTTGTTTCCCATATGGGACTAATAAAGGCCACACCTGCAAATACTGAAAGAAAAGCAATTACCACTTCAGAGATAGGAACATGGAATTGTTAAGAGAGAAGTGTACGTGAACTTGAACTTGCCTTCCAGTCAACTGAGAGTCAGATGAGACAGCATTCCCACCTTTGGAGGCAAGTGTCCTCCCCTCCCCCAACCTCCCCTTTCCCCCCTCACGCAGGGCCCTCTTGGAGCCCATCCTGACTTCAGAAGAATCTTGCCGTCATGTCTATCCCCACCTTTTCTTAAAAATTGTGGTAAAATACACATAATATAAAATTTACCATCCTAACCATTTTTAAGCATACAGTTCAGGAATGTTAAGCAGATTCACACTGTTGTGCACCTACCACCACGATCCCTCTCTAGAACACTTTTCATCTTGCGGAACTGAAACTCTGTCCCCATTAAACACTAATCCTCACTCTCCTCCCCCAACTCCCTGACAATCACTATTCTCCTTTCTGTCTCTATGAATTTGACTATGTTAGGTAGTTGTGGAATCATACAGTATTTGTCCTTTTGTGACTGACTCTTTCACTTAGCATAATGTCTTCAAGGTTTATCCATGTTGTAGCACGTGTCAGAATTTCCTTCCTTTTACAGGTTGAGTAATATTGTACAGATATACCACATTCTGCTTTCCCATCCATCCATCAATGGACATTTGGGTTGCGTCTGCCTTTTGGTTATTGTGAATAATGCTGCTATGAACATGGATATACAAATATCTGTTCAAGACCCTGCTTTCAATTCTTTTTGGATATATACCCAGAAGTAGGGCCACTGAATCATATGATAATTCTATTTCTAATTTTTTAAGGACACCATCTTTTTAATACCTGCATAATATGCCTCTATCGGTCTCTTTCACCATTCCTCTAGTGAAGAACAATAGTTTCTTTAACCATTTTCCTCATGAAGGTTTTTTTTCCATTTTCACTATTACAGTGATTCAACAAACATCCTTGTATACACTTCTTGCAGAAAGAAGTGTATTTCCTTATGAATATTCTTAACTATATTTTTAGCCATTTTTCTTGTTCATTGTAACAAGAAAACATGAAAAGATGCATGATATTAATAACAACCCCTCCCAACCCACTACCATCAGTCCTGTCCCCATGAGGCAACTTGAGTTAACAGCGTGTTGTCTCTGCCATTTTTTAAAATTCCCAAACATGTGTGCACATATACATATGTCTGTGTGTATTCATCCATCCATCTGTCCATCCAGCCATCTATATCTCTGTGTGTTTAATGCACCCTTACCCCCATGGTATGGCGTCATACTGTGTATATTACTTTGCAGTGTGCTTTTGCATTACTCCAGGTCAAGATATAGGGCTCTAACTTAATATTTTTTAATTTCTGTGCAATATTCCACATTATAGGATGTGCCATAATTTAGTCAACCATTCCTGTACCAGGCTTTAAGATAGTTTCTAACTTTTGCCACTAAAGACACTGCAGCAATAAACAGTTCAAACATCATTATGTACTGATTCTTTTATTATTTTTTAGGCTAGTTTCCCAACAGTAGAGCTACTAAATCAAAAGACACATGTGTTTTTAACCTTAATAAGTAGCGCTAGGTTAATTTCCTGAAAGAATATTTGCAGTAATTCACATACGAATCAACAATACGTGAAGGTATCTATTTGCCCAAATCCATACCAGCACTGCTATTATGACACATTTCAATTTATGCCAAACACATGGGCGAAACAGGGAATCTCAAGGTTGTTTTAATTTACATTTCCTTGATTTTTAGTGAGGTCCAGCATCTCTGCACATGTTCAGTGGCTATCTGGGCTTCTCCTGTGAGTTGTCTGTTCAAATCTTTTGCCCATTCCAGGAAATAAGGGGAAGATTGTCATTTTCTTATTATTCTATAGGATCTCTTTGTTTTTGTTTTGCTTGGTTTGTTTCAGTTTAATTTATATTTGAACAAGTAAGATATGCACACGGACCATCTAAAAGGTACAAAGGGGGTACATGGTGAAAAAAGTGTCCCTCCACCTCCACTGTTCCTTTCCCAGAGGGAACCCATGCTACCCATTTCTCATGTATCCTTGCAGACGTGCTCTAAGTACACAGTATAAGCAACTACATATAAATTATGTTCTCCTTCTTTCCTTATAAAAAGGGCACCATACTATGTACACTGTTCTGTACCAACTGTTTTTTCCTTATTCCAAATTAGAACAGAAAGAGCTTTGTAAAAGCTCTCTGTATTCTGGAAATATTTTCTTTTTCTTTTTGTTTTTTTTTTGAGGAAGATTAGCCCTGAGCTAACTACTGCCAATCCTCCTCTTTTTGCTGAGGAAGACTGGCCCTGAGCTAACATCCATGCCCATTTTCCTCTACTTTATATGTGGCACGCCTACCACCACATGGCTTTTGCCAAGCAGTGCCATGTCTGTACCCGGGATCCGGGCCGGGGAATCCCGGGCCTCCAAGAAGCAGAACATGTGAACTTAACCGCTGCGCCACTGGCCAGCCTCTGGAAATATTTTCTGATAGCTGTGTATGTACTGGTTTTTAGTTTCCTTAGGTATCTTTTTCCACACACTAATATTAAATATTATAAAATTGAATATTTCTAACTTTTCTTTTATGACTTAAGAGTTTTGAAAATTTTCTTAAGAAGTTCTCCCATCCCCAAGTTTGGGTAAATACTTCTCTTCTACATTTTTTTTCTAGTATTTTTATTGTCCCTAAAGATGTTTTGCATTTCATATCTTTAATTCACCAAGTTTATTTCTGTCTTTCAGATTATGTCAATATAATTATTCTTAAACAAATTATCCTTTATCCATCGAATTGTTACCTTTGCTATATATCATACTACTAAATATAGAGAATATTTCTGAGTGTCCTTGTCTATAAAATGGGAATTAGACTTACACAATCTTAAAGATGTTCAAGACCAGCAATGTCTCCGCTATGGTCTGAATGTTGCTCCCCCCTAAATTCCTATGTTCCGAACCATAGCCGTGCAAGGTGATGGTATTAGGAGGTGGGGCCTTTGGGAGGTGATGAGGTCATGAGGGTGGAGCCCTCAGGATTGGGATTGACGCTCCTATAACAGAGGGCTGACAGAGCTCCCCTACGCCTTCTGCCATGTTGCGGATACAACCAGAAGTCTGCTGACCAGAAGAGGGCCCTCACTCGACCATGCTGGCACCCTGATCTCGGCCTTCCAGCCTCTAGAACTGTGGAAATAAAGTCTGTTGTTTACAAGCCACCCAGTCTGTGGTATTCTGTCACAGCAGCCCAAACGGACTCACACAGTCCCTAAGGTCTCTTCCAAATCTACGTATGCATCTCCGTTAAGAAGGGAAACATGAATGACAGTCTGAAGGAAGACGACAAGGGACAGCTCAGCGGCAGGAATGAAAGGGCGTGGGCGCGGGTGGGGGCGCGGCACCCCCTGGGGCTGGGGCTACTTACGCCGTGGAGCTTCATGTAGAGGCCGCAGGCGTTGCACACGGGCTCACCCTCGGCGTTGCGGCGCCACAGCGTGGTGGTGGTGGTCTGGCAGTTGGCACAGGAGAGGCCCACTCGGCGGGAGGCGGACTGCAACAAGGAGACAGAGCCTTCAGTCCAAGTAAAAGGCGGTGCTGCTTCTGCTCCGCAGGAGCGGAGCAAGGCAGGGGGGGCCCTCCCCCTGTCCCTCTCCCCCTCCCCCTCCCCAGACGGGTGGCAGGGGGAGGCCACCACAGCCCTGGGTAAGAACCTCAGAGCCGCCACAGCCAGATTCCCCTCTACCCAAGCCACTCCGGGAGGTGAATGAGGACACGGACTTCTGCTGCAGGAGAAGAAGAGTGAATTCCAGTCCTAACTGTGGCGTTAGCGGCGTTACTAGCCATTCGAGGTCAGACGCACAGACCAGCAAGCAGTGGGCACTCAGCAGAAAAACTTCTCCCAGAAGAATTAACACAGGCATCAGGGGCCAGGCACAGGGAGTGAGTGAGGAATTACTGTCTCCAAGTGTCATCAAAGACTGGATGGGCCTTGGGACCTCAAGAAAGGGAAGCTTCAGGGTAATCCCTTTGTTCCTCCCTCCCTAATAAATGTGAAAGCTAGCTCCTGTTGGTCAAAATCAAATTACAGTAGAAAAGCCCACGGAACCGAGAGCCAAAAACTGAGTTCCAAACTCTTCCTCAGCCACAAGGCCCACCACTGCTTAATCTCCCTGGGTTTGGGTTTTTTTCGGCTGATCAACTGAAAACAGCATAACTAACAGAATATCACAAAGGAAGAGTTAACCTTCCTCAGGGGGCTGATGTCAACACAGGAGACGTACAAGACAACACCAGATGGGGAAGCAGGAAGTCTGGACTCTGGTCCCAGGGGAAGAGTCGGTATCTATGTGACTTTGGGCAAAGGCCATTAGCTTTCTGAGCCTCACTTTTCACTTCTGCATAATTAAGGGATTGAATTAGATGGTCTGGAACATCCTTGTAGCCCAAGGTAAATCCAAAGGAGTAAGAAATTACTATGTTGTCTTACCCACCCCCTCAACCTGCACCTTTTTTTTTTTTTTTTAAGATTTTATTTTTCTTTTTTCTCCCCAAAGCCCCTAGGGACATAGTTGTAGTTTTAGTTGTGGGTTCTTCTAGCTGTGGCATGTGGGACGCCGCCTCAGCATGGCCTGATGAGCAGTGCCATGTCCGCACCCAGGATCTGAACTGGCGAAATCCCGGGCCACCAAAGCAGAGCACACAAACTTAACCACTTGGCCACGAGGCCAGCCCCTGCAACTTATTTTTCAAAGTGAGGAAGATTGGCCCTGAGCCAACATCTGTTGCCAATCTTCCTCTTTTTTCCCTCCCCAAAGCCCCAGTACATAGTTGTATATCCTAGTTGTAGGTCCTTCTGGTTCTATGGGGGGGACCACCTCAGCATGGCCGGAGGAGCCGTGTGTAGGGCCGCATCCAGGATCTGAACCAGCGAAACCCAGACCACCAAAGTAGAGAGCACAAACTTACCCACTAGGCCACTGGGCCGGCCCCTGCACCTTCTTTTAAAGATGACTTGAAATCCAAAGTTCAAAACCAGGGAATGTCCCACCCAGGTGGGAGCCCTGAAGCCCCCTGCCCCCAGGCAGCTGGGCTTGGGCAGTCCAGGCACTTGCTTACCAGTCGGCGCTGGGGCTTGATGAGGGGCCGGTTGATCCCATTCATCTTGTGGTAGAGGCCGCAGGCATTGCACAGATAGTGCCCTGTCCCGTCCCGCCTCCAGAGTGGGGTGGACATGGCCCCACAGTTGACACACTCTCTGCCTTCTGAGAAGTCGTCAAACATATCTACTGGGTGAGAAATAATACAGAGGATTAATTCTACGTTTATGCCCATTCCTTGCAAGGAATGAATGATGGAGCACCTTGGGCTGCCTCGCTCTCCCTTGCTCTCTGACCTCAACCCCTGGGGGACTGGCTCACAGGACTGTCATGGGATGTGGACGTTTTTATTCCTGGGCATCCCAGACACAGCGGGGCTCTCCCTGGTCAAGAGAAAAGGAAGAGTCGGGCAGCAACCACCAGCGGTCTGCATTTTAGTCCTTCTCTCTCCTTCAGAGTCTGTACTCTGCAGTTCTCAACTAACACTGAACACCATTCAGACCTTCTGTCTCTTTTTCCCTTTCAAAGTGGAGATTCCTTTTCCCTTTGAATAAAAATATAATAAGTATTTACTTTGGGAAAAGTAGCAAACACCAAAAAGTGTAAAGAAAATATAAATCATATGTAATCCTGTAACTCAAAGATCACCAGTGTTATTAACATTTTGTTCTGTTATATCCTTTGCAAGACTTTATACTATATTGACATATATTTTTGCCTAGTTGAGGTCAAGCTATAGAATTTTGAGCCTGTTTTTTCACTTAATACCAAAGCACTTTCTCACATGAGAAGTTCTTCATAAACTCATTTTAGCTCAGTACAATATCCCATTATATAAATGTGCCATCCTTTAACCATTATCATTGAACTTTTGCTTAACCGTTACCCAGTTTCTGATTGTTTTGTAAAAACCGCTCATTTTCTTGTTTTGTAAATAATGCTCATTCAAACCTCAGCATTTCTCGTTATTCCTTAAGATTCTCCCCTAGAAGTAGAATTACTGAACCAAAGGGACTATATTTTTTGAAAGTTTCTGAAATTTTCAAAGTGCCCTGCAAAAAAGGCTGCAATTCGTTCTTCTCATTTCAATATATTCATATGATATGCTGTATCATAGTTTGACATTTTTCCTTGCTTATTGGTACATAAAATAAAGATGCATATTATAAGCAATGGTGACTTAGAGTCGCAAATGGTGGCGTTTGTCTTTCTCCTGCACTCACTCATACCTCTCCCTCCCCCAAACCTTCATCTTCCATGTCTGCAGATTTTTACAATGGACAGTTTCACTCATGTCCATTTCAGTTGCCCCTGAGGAGATAGGCTGGGCCAGTCTTATTCCCTGTGATCTATATAAAGCCTGGCTCAGAACTTCCAGAAGTCTCTCTGACTCTGTGTACACTGTTTCCTATTTTGAAAAATTTATATAACCTTTCCAAATTTTCTGTCCCTAAACACTGTTACATTGGTGTCCAAATTGTTCTTGTCCTCCTACCAGAGGCAACAGTGGATTCTTCTGTAGTAAAGGGGGGAGATAATTGGAGAAGAGGGTTTTTAAGAGGTCTCCTTACGTCAGGACCCAGCACATTCTGCTAGATCTGTGGCCCAGCTACCTGCTCTGAGGGAACGTGGATGGTGGGGGTCCCTCCCCTCAACTCTGGGTACACAAATAGTCATTTGCACCTGCAAACAAGTAGCTGTGTGTCCACACCAAGTCAACAATGTGCAGGTGTGAGGAGCTGTTTGCTTAGGCCAGGAGCTGAGCACACAACGGTCACAAGAGAAGCTATTTTTGTACCTGGGTCACACTAAGAACCCTCCAGCAAGGTCACCTGCTTTCAGAGCTGCACATGAAATGGTGACTCCCGTCCACAGTTTGCTTCCCCAAGCCTGGAGGAGGCGAGGAGTGAGCAATGACATGCACGCCACCCTCAACACCATCACTGCAACCTCCACCTCCACGACCCTGTGCTCCCTTGCCCTGGGGCGGCTCAGCCCCACTCCCCCGGCCCAGGCCTTCCCATGAGGGGACCAGAAAAGCCAGCAGAGTTCACAAAAGGACCTGAGATCTAGGAGGGACACTCGCAATGTCATCATTTTGTTGCATATTTGCAGTAAACACTAGATGGCACTACAGCTTCAAAATTGAACCAAGACACCACATTCCTGGCCAAACCACGCCTGGGGATGGAGGACTTTTCAGATCATCTCTCCAGTCCAAACGTAGGGCAACCCTCGTATCCGACATATTTGTTTTATTATGGACAAATTTAAACATGTTCAAAAGTGGACAGAATATAAAAATGAACTCTTGTTTAATCATCATCCAGCTTCCAACAATTTGTGGAAAATCTTGTGCATGTATACCTCTAACCTCTTTTCCCGTTCCTATATTATTCAATAGAATCCCAGATGTTCCATCATTTTATTCATTAATATTTCAATATGTAGCTCTCACAGATAGATTCACACTCCTCCTTTTAAAGATAAGCAAACCAGCTTCTTTGCTATGATCTGATTTATCTGAAGAAGGCTCCACAGGAAAAAGTCTCATAATCCTTTCCTCTTTTTTTGGAGGCGAGATTCCCTTTTCTCTTCACACATTTGGTTTTATATGCAGGCACAGACTCTCATCCAAGAGCCCCCCTAGCAATCCTAGACCTCTGCTGGTTCTGACCTTACGCTGCCTTGAGAAGCCATCGCAAAAGGTCAGCCTTAGAAACTCCTTCCCACTTGCCTCACAGAATGCGTTACACCTCAAGTAACTATTGTACTGCCAGGGAAAGGCAGGAGAGGTTGGCAAACATGTATTTGTCATCGATAAATATTTACCGAGCATCTGCTATTTAAGCGCTCTGATGTCACAGGAGCTAACAGCGAGCCTTATCCTCAGAATGCTAATGACCTAGTTGGGCAAATGGGGCCAGAAGATCCGGAACGAGTAACAACATTACTGAATTGTTTTCACAACATACCTTAAACAAGCTGGGGATCTGGGTGGCAGGTACTTCTTGTCTAGGATAGGAAGTACAGAAGTCCGACCCAGATTGAAGGGTCAGGTGTTACAACAGCAGCCAAAGGAAGAAACTGGATGTGAAGTCAAGGCCATGCTTCCTGAAGGTGCCCCGTCAGACACACCACGTCTCCCCACAACCCACTACACCTCCAAATCTGCAGAGGTTTCCCTATTTTCTGCTAGAAAATCTTCCCATCCAACCTACTTAATGAAATGTCATACAACTTTAAATGGTTATTACAAAGAAATGTAACAATAGAGGAAAATGCTTACCCTGCATGTTAAAGGCAAAATGCAGCACACAGAAAACCGTATACACTGTGATGGGAGCTAAGCCCACCAGGAAGGAGCCTATGTGAGGCTAGTTAAATTGTGTGGACTTTTCTTTTTTTTAAAACGCCATTCTGTAATGTCATAATAGCCTATTTTTAAAAATCTGGTAAATAAAAACAAAGAGAAAAATTTTGATCACCTTAAGAAGGTCCAGTCCACTATGTGGGAAGGGACTATCTTACTCTCTTAAATCTGACATATATATATATATAGTTCCCCCCTTGGACTGAAGAAAGGAGAGAGCGAAGTTCAAACCATGCTGCTTAGCACCCACTCTGGGGAAGTGGGAGGTGACAGCCTGTGAGCCCCAAATCAGCACGAACATCTGGCACTGTGAACCTTGCTAACAACCACCTCTTATTCCTTCATTAGAAAGGCACTGGGTGGAACTTCCCGAAGACAAGGGGGCAGCTGCCTGAAGCCAGTTTCTAAGCTTCATTTCTAACTCGGAAGGGCACAGCTATGGCCTTGACTTATGAAAGCCCCACCCCCCAGTGCTGGGCATCTTGGGAACTGGTCCAACCTCTTAGATGGCAATGGGAATCCAGCTCTCGGAAGTGGGTCAGCATTACCCCACATTCAGAGGAAAGACTTGTAATAATAGTTGTAAAGTACTTTGCAAATAAGAGGAAAAACTCACAACAATAGCTGTAAAGTGCTTTGCAAACACCAAATGAGATAACAATGATGGATTATTGTGAGGGTTGGAGCAGTTGGGAGGGAGTGGGGAAGACCGGGGACAAACCTTGGTGCTGGGTTATTTGGGGGGAGGGGAGAGATAAAAGAGCTGGGAGATTTGGGAATCTGACCTTTTCTCAAACCACCAGGCAGTGCTCCGAATTGTAAATTGTATGTCACTCTCAGACTTGGCCAAGCCTGAGATTTGCAGGCAGGGAATGAACTGGCTGCAAGGTTGACAATGTATAGTTATGAGGACTCAAAGCTGCTGCTTATAGGAAAAATTAATTAATGATAAATGTAGCAATCAAAAGCACAAAATAAATTGTGCCCTAACCCCAAGATTGGGGATCTAACTCCTTACTTCCATCCGTGCCCCACTAAAAAAAATTTTTTTAAAGAGTGAAACAAACTCAGCCTGACTTCTTAGGCATCATTTTAGTATGGATATCTTAGGAATTAAGGTGGATTACTCCCGTCCAAGTGCCTGAAAGAAAAATGTGGACCAGGAGGTTGAAGGATCCCACCCCTGACTTCCCCACAGAGAACTGACGCAATGAAAGCAAGCACTCCGACCTCTCCCCTGACCTCTCCATCCATCTTGGGGAACCCACCCACAGGCAGGGGGTAAGCAAGTCAGGGCTGAGAGAAAGAAGGCGGAAGAGGAAGAGGGGGGCAAGTGGGAGGAAGAAGGGAGAGGAATCAAAGGCCAGGGTCATGGTTGGCAACACCCGCCAGGCATTGCCCGAAAGCTGGATTTGTCTTCCAACTAACTGCTAGAGAGAAAGCTCAGGCTGATGGGCGCTCCCGTGGTTGTGCCAGCCCGCTGGGCCGGTGCTGAAGAGCCTGGTTCTCCTCCACTGCAGAGGTGCCCCACAGGCCTTCCCTCGTTGGAGGGTGTCCCACTGGCTACGGAAAGCTGGGTCTTGAGTCAGAGCCCATGCTGGAGAGACCCTCCTCTCCTTCACCCTCAGGTCTGAGTCTGTCTGATCTCAGGCCTTCCACTGTTTCCATGGGGGGCACTGGAGCCCAAACATTTGCCATTTGCCTGCTCTACTTGCCCCTGTAGCAGTGCTGGACATAGAGATAAAGTAGACAAAACTGGGGCAAAATCCCTACCCAAAGCTGTTTTGGTCTAGCTGGGGGTACAAAACTCAAAACA